AATTAATATAACTATATTAGTAGTCAGTGCTATAAGGAGGTTAGGTTACACAACACTAGATGTCACCATATTATGATCACTGAACTGTCCATTCAGGAGAAAACCGCAACATGATCCCAACTCATCGGTAACCGCTTTTCTCCTCTGAATGCACCCTATGACAAGCCGCCAGCCCACACCGCCCTCCTCGTGTTTGCTTCTTGGCCGATTCAAAGGTGCCAACGGTTCCCCAGCTGCCCCGCAACCCTGACATGGCTACTGCAGACTTTTTTTGTTTCCGCGCTTGAAAACTCCCTTGAAAGGACATCATTTTGGGACTGTTGACAACGTCAAAGCGGCTTGCACCAAGGCTCTAAAAGGCATTCCAGAGGAGGCCTACCGTACCGCCTTCGATGCCTGGAAATCTCGCTGGAAGCGATGTATCAACGCAGGAGGAGCCTATTTTGAAACCTTTTAATGTCTTGTATCGATCTGATCCATTTTTTTAAATCGACTCACTGACATTACTTTTCAGACAAACCCTGTATACGTAATTCTTGACATACACTAAAATTCACTTAAAAGCTTCGCGTTGCACAGAGAGTGAAAGTTAGTTGTTTATAAATAAGATATCGCATAATCTGATATGATTGGTTAATCCCTTATCTTAAAATGGCATGTTTGCGTCCTCCCTATCTTTACTCTGATATTTTGTGCTAAGACAGCCTTTAACCAAACAGTAGCGGTCCATTTTCCTTAATTAAACGCGAATCTATTTCGTTGTGAATTCAAATTAGTACTCCAGAGAATACGAAATTGTGTTCGTAGTCCTCAATGGTGCTGATATCCTAGCAACGCGTATGGTTTTGTGACCAGCAGCCTATACTTTTATTGTGAAAGGGATCAATGACTCTAGTTCATTTTTGCAAATGAATAATTTCAATTTTAGCATATGTAATATACAAAATGTTGTGCAATTCTACTCATAAGTTATAAGAATAAGTTTCATTTGTACTTAGAAAATTTTATTCAGCATGATTGAACCACTTTTACAACAGAATGTTGCGAATTCGTAACTTGTTCGACTTTATAAATCTGACTGCAATATTTTTAGGAAAATACAAGATAGTACAATTACTCTTATTCTAGATGCATTATAAACTATAATGATAACTAGAAAAACGTAAATGGTCCAGCCTTTCATAGAACTTTTATACATCTCTGAGGTACGTGTAAAACCAATTATAAAGAGAATCATATAGATTGTACATGTTTTGTTTTTGTCAAATAATATTTGGCAATAAATAATAACTTATGGCATCTTTAAGTTACATAATTACTATTCTACCGTGTCATACGCAAAGAAAAATATATTCGATACAAAATATAGAGATGTTTTATGTTACATTTTGTTAACACGCTATGTTAGGTCTTTAAACGGAAAATCGCTCAATCACGCAACACGCTTATGTCATCGCCATTAAAAAGTAAATCAGCTCGTGAGGGATAAACGTGTTTCATGTTTCCATCCATATCCACCACTTTGACCTGTTCTATAAGTAATTCGTAATAGTCGCCTTTATCAGCCTCTGCAGCACACCCCAATCCCAAGGTTACAAGTTCTTTCAAGAACAAGTCCAGTACATTTCTATATAACAGTTAAAAGTAATGTGACTGATGATAAATTAATGTTATATCTACATAATTCTTTCTGATACAGTTTTGTCATTACATTTAATATTCAAAGAACGACAGTCTCTAAATTTTAATAACTTCAAAAACTTTTAGATTTTCTTGTATTGTAAGACATCTACCACAATTAATAAACAAACATGACTTTTGAAACTTTAGCAAAATTCAAACAAATAAAAATAAAATAAAACTAGTCCATAAATTATATTTTGAAAGCTATCAATGTATGCTCGAAAAAGGATAACAGAAATTTTGAGAAATTTTATTTCACCATTGTATTATCCAAAATTTTCATTGTAATATTTCTCACCTGCACACTTGTTGAGAAGATGCACTTGTTACTTCTATGAAAATTGTTGATGTAGATGGGGATGCTTTCGTTATATCACTATTTGTAATTGGTGGAAGCGATATTGTTTGATCAGAGCTGTCCAATACACAAGGATATTTCCGTTTGCCTTCTAACAGATACAAATATCTATGTATGCCAGAATAAACGTTGCGCTTTTTTTCTCTACGTAACTTGTCCGCTTCAGCTTGCAATTGTTGGAAAAGTTCTGCACCAGTGTAAGATTTGTTACGCATTAAAGGTTTAATTTCTATTTCATTTGGTAACTTTGCAGTGTACGTAATATCACCTGTTAAGAGTATTGAAAAATGTGTTAACTTGAAATTTTTTAATTTTTGTCATGTATAAAATGTTGTGAATTGGTACCAGGCACTATCAAGTTGAAATCGTGTGTAGCTAAAGTAGCAGCGTTTCTTTTATCACAAATTCCTTCATGCAGTTTGGTTTGAAGTTGAATAAATTTTCTAAAACTATCCTCTGTAAATTTAAGATTTTTAATAATGCATCCAAGGATATGAGGTCTGACATCTTTGACTTCTGGTGTAATCTTTATTGAAGGAGTGATCTCTGAGACTTTTGTGATTCTCAAAGTATGAGTGCATTTTTCTATAGGAGGAATTACAGTTTTACTCTCAGATGACTTGCGACCTTTTTTGGATTTTTTGGATTTATCAATGACATGAGATGGAGTTTCGCTTGCTCTAGGACAATTCTGCCTGACGTAATCCAAAACCTGTTTAGTTCGACATTGATCTACTAGTTTAAAAAGTCTTTTATCAGATAGGATATTACCCTTTAAGTTAACTTCTTTCAGTTTGCAATCCGCCAGTTCCCCTGGAACTTCTGAAATTTCAAAGAATATTTACTTGAATTCCCAATATCTTAAAATCATGTATGAGTACATGTATGCTTATATTACCTGTTATCATATTATCCGCCAAATCTAACATTTTCAAAGATGGCAAAATATTAATTGTATTTGGTATTTGCTTAATTTGATTTCCATTAATCTTAATTTCAGCAAGATTTGATAATTCAGCATAACAGACATCAGGGAAAGTGTCAAAATTATTATTAGATAAATCCAAGGAGGTCAGTTTTATGTTGTGGATCTGTGATGGCAATTCTGTTAGAAGATTCGATCCAAAATTGATTGTTGTTAATTGTGGAAGATCTCCCAATTCTTCAGGAACATTCTCCAACATATTTCTTGAACAATCGAGTAACTTCAATTTTGTCAGATTCTTTATTGCAGATGGTATTTTAGTAATTTTATTTGAGTGCAACACCAATGTTGTTAAATTCGTCAAATTTCCAATTTCGTCTGGAATCTCTTTTAGACAAGTCTGATGGATATTTAAATAATTTAAACCTTGTAAGCCAAAGATACATTTGTCCAAGCCTGAGTTGGTTATCTTTTGAGAAATATCTTCTCCAGAAAGGATCAGTTCATGCCGCTTATCCTTTACGACCTGATTTACTTCGGGCCAAGCAGAATCCATCGTTGTCATCGTCCAACAAAGTCGAACAGTTATGAAGTAATTGCTTTCCGTTGTCTGCAGCAGATTCACTACGGAATTATTGAGATTTAAAACGTGCTTCAACAAGTTTCAAATTAGTCAACTGACATAGTACATTTACACAGCATGTCTTACATCGGTTTTATAACTGCCGATATTAAGCGCTGTATAAACGCCATCTTATGTTGGTAACCGATGTAAAACTGTTTTTATATCATGGACGTAAGAATATATAGATGGAGCCTGAGCCAGAGGGGCAGAGCCGAAGTAAGTAAGGGGGTGACACGTGGGAATCAGAGATGAGTTGGGAGATTGCTCACGGGCAGGGTCGCGCGATCGC